CTTGGAAACCCTACTGCCCATATTTTTTTTTTTTCCTGTTCCCTAGTTTGTGCTTATTCTGTGGTATATTGTCATAATCCTACAGAGAAGAGGATTGCCTTTCCCTTGTGGCTTTGGGGGACAAGCAGGGAGCAGAGGATGGGGGCTCCTCACCCTGGAGGAGTCACGGGTGGGACACTGAGCAGGTTACCAGCAGCAGGATGAGCCCTGGGCATCCTCAGACATATTCTGCACATCTCTCAGTCACCACCCTCTTGTGTAGATCAAAAAAAAACAAGCCCAGGATCCCAACACCTGACAAAAAATGAAGTTTGAAATGGAGCTTCCTTGCTGGTGGCAATGGAAGCCAAAGACAGGGAAGCCTAGAGAAATGAAGATGAAATCCTGTAAACGCAGCAGATGCAGGCCTCGCTTTTCCCTGATGTAGTTTTATCATGGACTTGCAACTTCAAAAAAAATGTCTCAGGTCCTGCAGACATGTGAATGTCAGCTTTAATTTTCCGCAAGGGAATCGCTGGAACTTGTGGTTTCTGAGAAGAGTTGGAAAACAACTTCCAAATACTAAAATCCCCAGCATATAAATAAAAATAACAYGGCTAATATTGTATTTCAGCCTTGTGGTTTTTAAACTAATCTCATTTGTATTTTTTGGTTTTTTTTTCCCTGCCTGTACACATAGTTGTTTTTGAACAGGGGTCTGACGATAGTGAGATTACTCTGCTGAGTGGTGTGAGCAGAAGCTGGAGGCCCTGAGTCTGATGATGGCCAGCAAAGTGCTGGTCTGGGCTTGAGCACCGTGCAGTGGTTGTGTCCTCTCTCCRGTGTGGAAAATCTCCACGTCTTCAAGCTGACTCTCATCTCAGCCAGTTCAACCCAATTTTGTTGAGCCCTGCCTTGCTGAGACAGCTTGTTACTTGTGTACCCCCTCACCTTCCCCCCWCCAAGCAGAATTTAGACCAGGTTTCTCTGCTTGCAAAGGAGACCTGGCCACATGGATTGGTGTGAAGAGCCTTCAGGGCCCTCCAGAGATTCGGGCACAGGATCTGGGCACCCAGAAACTTCAAAACCTTTCGTGCCTGAGGGAACCTGCAGTGTCACACACCGCACTGAGGGGTCTGCGCTGTCTGGTGGAGAAGATGGCTGTGGAATGGGGCTGGAGGAAAGGGGGCTTGAGGAAAGGGGGGCAGAGAGGAGGGTACGATTGCTCTGATGTTCACCACACGTGCTGTGACTGACTACCCGAGGAAGCTGCTTAGAAAATCCCTGGCTGTGACTCTTCGCTCATCTAATCTTTTGAACACACAAACAGGACAAGCCCCAATGCTTTTTTTTTGTTGTTTTGGTTTTTTTTTGTTTCTCCTTTTCCGCGCTTGTTGTTATCTGAAATCCCAGCAGAGATTATTTCAGAGACATTTCTTCGCYCAGTCTCCTCTCTGCCTAGAGGGCAGAAAGGGATGATCGTCCTGGCACCAGGAGCCACCAGCCCATCTCCGGGGTGGCCCCGGGGTGGCCAGCGTGCCCGCTAGCCCCGAGTTTGTCCCCAAGCCCGCACCTCGGCGGGGATATGTGGCCAGAGCCCAACCCGGGCAAACCAGAGCGGTGGAACTCTCCTGTCCCAGCAGCGACTCCAAACCAGCCGTCCCCTCTCCCGAGGCTGGGGCGAGCGGCGGGATGGGATGGGGTGGGATGAGATGGGTGTTCGTGCGGGGTGGCACAAAACCCGCCGGGCTGTGCGGGGTGAGCAGAGCGGTCCTGCCCTGCCGAATCACCCCAGGGCTCTCTGTCCCCATCGCTGCCAGGCTCTGTCCCCCCGTGCCACCTTTAGAGCCGGCGGCGGCGGCGGGGCCGGGCCGGGCGGACGGGGCGGTGCCCACCGCCGTAACCAATGGCTCGGCGGGGCTGTTTAAATAGACTCGTCCTGTCAATCATTTTCTTCTTCGTCAGCCTCCCTTCAATCGCCATATTGGGCAACCAAGAAAAGGGCTCGTCTGCTCTTGTTTTTTTCCGTCTCGCGTTTACTACGCGGCGGCGGTGCGAGCGGCGGGGGCAGCGGCGGCAGCAGCGGCATCGCCATCGGCAGCGGCTCCGTTCCTCACCCGCCCGGGGCTCCCCGGCGGCCGCGGCGGCTCTCGGGGCTCATCCCCGGGCCGGCGCTTATGCGAGGGCTCCTCCTCGCCCCTTCTCCGCGGGCCGAGGGCGAGCGGGGCCGAGGCGCGGCCGCAGCGCGGAGCGGAGGCGCGGAGCGGAGGCGCGGAGCGGAGGCGCGGAGCGGAGCGTCGGGAAATAAAGGGCGGCGGAGAGGCGGCGGCGGCCGCGGAGAGAGAGAGCAGCGATCACAAGAGAAGCGCCGCCCGGAGCTACAAGGTGCGGGGAGATGTCAAACGTCCGCATTTCTAATGGGAGCCCTACCCTGGAGCGCATGGAGGCCAGGCAGTCGGAGTACCCGAAGCCGTCGGCGTGCAGGAACCTCTTCGGGCCGGTGAACCACGAAGAGCTCAACAGGGAGTTCCAGAAACACCTGCAGGAGATGGAGGAGGCGTACCAGAGAAAGTGGAATTTCGATTTCTACAATCACAGRCCGCTGGAAGGCAGGTACGAATGGCAAGCCGTGGAGAAGGGGAGCTTGCCCGACTTCTACTTCAGACCCCCCCGGCTACGGAAAGCCGTCTGCAAGTCCGCCGGCCGCCAGAGCTTGGATGTAAACGGGAATTGCCAGACCGTGGTTTTTGTCGGTTCTCAGGGAATCTCAGAGGACACTCAGTGTGTAGCTCAAAAGACTGATGTTTCAGGAAATCAGACGGACTTAGCAGAGCAGTGCACTGGGCAGAGGAAAAGACCCGCGGCCGATGGTAACGTACCCCATGGCTCTGCCCCGCGCCCCATTCGTGTCAGCGCCGGGGCTCCGGCCCCTCCCGCGCCCCTTTTCCCCTAAAAACGCCCGGGTAGTGTTTGCGGTCCCGGGGGAGCGGGAGCCGGTAGATGATTTGCGAGGATGAGCCCTTAGACGCGGGTCATCCCCCCCGAGCCCTCGCCGCCCCTCTGCGGGGACCCGGCCTCCTGCCCAGGTGGGAGGAGGTTCACAGCGAAAGACGAATGCGGATTTTAGCCGAAAAGAGGGAACTTGGATGTCCTACCTAGAGAGAAGCCCATCTCCCCACCCCCTGCTCGCTTCACGCAGCCGATACCCGACATGGGGATCCGGGAATATTCCCCCTCGGTCCATCTATCCCCCCTGGATGCCGAGCAAACATCTGGAAGGAAAATATTTTAATATCGCTTCCTCCCTCCCCGTTTTTAATTTTCCCCTCCTAGATTCCTCTCCTCAAAATAAAAGAGCCAACACAACAGAAGAAGAGGTTTCAGAAGACTCCCCCAGTGCCAGTTCAGTGGAGCAAACACCCAAGAAATCAAGCCCGAGAAGACATCAAACGTAAAGCGTTTAGGTCGGTTCCCTTTAGGKTCTGGTGTTAGGATGCAWATAAGGGAAAGAAAAGGGTGCCCGGGTGTCCGTCCCGTGTCTGGGGGTGGGGAGGGRGCTCCGTGCCCCTGTGGGCTCGCCCAGGGCTGTTTTCTCCGCGGAAGGGTGGCTTTCCCCGAGCGCTCGGCAATGGGTGTGTGTCGGAGGGTGGGGAGTGGGAGGCGCAGGGCTCGACAAGAACAAAACAAGGAGCGCAGCCCAGCCGGGTGTCGGGGGCTGGGGCGGGGGGACCGAGCCCCTTTTGCCGCGGGTGATCACCGGGGACAGGCAGAGCCTTTGGCCGGGTGCAGGGACCGAGCTGGAGCCGCGGCTGGCACATCGTGTCRAATGCCGGGGGATTTYGGGRGGATTTCGGGGGGCTTCCCCCGGCCCCCGCCCCCGCCTGTGCCAGCCTTGCCGTCYCTTGTCGCGGCCACCTCCCACTACGGGAGAAAAACGTCCGAAAGTTGGGTTTAAGTGCAATCCGGGCACTTTAACAAAATCCGAGCAATGCAAGGTTGTTTTGGTTTTGTTTGGTGGGTTTTTTCCCCCC